GAATTATTAACGCACCAATTTGACATTTGACAGTTTCACATAGTTTTAGTAATTAATAAATGTATGAGGCGTTTCATCGAGTTAGTAAGAACTTGGCAAGTGACGAGAACGGTGCGTTTTTTGTTTATTATAATGTCAGATTCTGGGATAGACAATAACTCAAATTATTCATCCTACTGGACATATGTGGATGACGTTCTTTCAAAGTATGCAGAAGATATTAAAGAAGAGAAACAATTAATCAGCGAAATAAAATATTCACTATCAAATTCGACCATACAAGTCTCGACAGGAATTAGCGCAGCTATGGGGTTTGAACCTACCATCAGATTCAAAAGTTCGAGTGACGGTGACGTAATTTCTCTTATGGATGTGGACTGGTATGATTTTATCGCCAACATTAATATTATGCCGGATAATGACAAAGAAAAAGATTTCATCGAAACCGTTGTGGAACTTGAAAATTTCAAACTATCCAGTCAACTAGTCGCTGGAAGACATATATTAGTGTTCAAGAGTGGCCAAGCAATCTTCTACTTTGATGATGAATTCATTAAGGACATCGTCAATATTCGACATCTTATCGAATATAGGTTAGGATATTTACATGATTTAGATTTTAAAAACTTTTATAATAATGCTTTACTTTATATTACTAATTGTGATGCTTGTTCAATGGAAACATGTTTTGATAAGTTAATAAGCTTATGTAATTTGAATAAGTGTGAGAGAAGTTATTGTTTACTTGAACATTTAAAATTTAATAAAAATGCTGTTCTTACTGATATTGATAAAATTTATGATTATCATATGTAAAATGTTAATTAGGTAATCATACTCCATGTACTTTATTTTGTAAGTAAATTATTAAATTAATTATTAAAAACATTTCAAATTTAAAACGTGTTTATTAATTCCTATTTAAATTATAACACTAATAAGCAGTACAATAAATTGTTAATAATTCTCCAGTTTCTCCTCCCATAATCTATTGTTGAAGATGATTTTCATTGCAGAGTTTTAATATTTCCCAAATTGAGTATCTCTTCCTGAATGCAATATTCACAGCTAATTATTCTTTTTGGTGGACCATCAACCCAGTCATTATGCATGTTATAATGTTTTTTACATGATCTGTACTTCACCATAGACGGATCATTTCGTATATAATCGGGCAATAAATGCCAACTGTCCTCAAGATCGCACACGCTTATTGTCTTAATATAACTTTTCGGTAAGTAATAAATATCTTGTAGTCTCATCTTCAACAGGGACCCAAACATTATGTGGGAACTGATGGCGTCCCAAGTTTTCTCAGCAACACATCTTTGCCGTTCATTCATTTTTGAGCAATTAATAATAAATAGGACAATGTCTCCGTAATAGACAAAATTTTATATCCCCACTTTCTCAAATCTAAAGACAACTTACTTGAGATAAATAAAAAAATTAAATTGTTGCAGGAATAAAACGCCATTTCCATTGTTATTGTATACAGTTCAGGATTTAAAAACATAAAACGTATTTCAATACCTCATTTATCAATTAATTTATTTAGATGTTTCTATTAGGAGAAAAAATAAAAAATATCATCATTCATCAAATTTTATTTAAAATTATTGTTTTTATTTTCCTCTTCTGATAAAATTTTGTTTATACGTAACCTTTCCAATAATCATTTGCATTTTTTTAAACCGTAGCCTTCCCAGTTAGATTGAAGATCTTTGGTTCATACCTAAATTACAATACTTTTTTTAGGAATTCTTCATACATTGAAATTTTCCCAAAAGTAAACAAGTTACTTTTTAATTAACATGAAATATTAATTATCTGAGGAATGTCGGATAGTTTCCACACTTTTTCTTTGATTTAATAGCTTAAGAAGAGGTTAAGCATAATTTTGTTATAAACCTTAAATCATCCTAAAAATATTAATTGCTCAACTAGTTTTCCGAACAAATAGAAACCTTCATAAAATATGGGATAATTATTTTAAAAATATTTATCTAAATATTATCCTAATTTTTCATGATCACTGTATATTAAATTAGTTAAAATATAGCACACGAAAAACGCGACCGCGACTGTGCTGTAATATGACAATGGGAAACCAGATGTTAAATAAATGTTAAAAAAATTTGATATACTCACTTTGTAAAATAACATAATTTTTTCATTGTCACTGTATATTATGCTAATTGACCATATACTTGCGAAAACACTGTACATAAATTATATTACTGCCTATTTAAAATTGTCTAATTTATATTTAGAAATATGTAGTTATCGATATCTTTATACATATAAATACAATATATTGCACTTAAATGAAATGCACGGGAACTTCCAGCCTTGCTTAAGAAGGTCAGGCGAAATGTTTCTTATTCCGCAACGGTGTGCAACGCGACGGCCTCGCTAATCTTGCATTCCTCGCGTTTTGCGATTACAGGGTAGCCCAAATAATATGAATCGCTTACCGGTGGTCCTATTTTCGGCTATTTTAAACCACAAATACCCTTTTAGACATCATCTTCAACATCAAGAAGACCCCTCTGGCGCGCGTCTGCCGGGACAGTCATTTGCTACCCAAAATTATGCAAATTGAGCCAGAATGAACTGTGGGCTATTGATGGCCTTATTTTCGACTATTTTAAACCACGAATATCTTTTTGGACGTCAACTTCAAAATCAAGAAGACCCCTCCAGAGCCCGTCTACCGGGACATCCATTTTCAACCCAAAATTATGCAAATTGAGTTTCAATCGGCATAGTTTATCTACTTTTACAACGAGAAGTAAATTATTTAG